GACTTAACTCTCTGTGGCTGAAAAGTATTACCAGGAGATACATGGTCTCATGATTATGACATATTGATCTATTTTTATATGTATGTGCACATGTAGGGTAGGGAAAGAGACAGAGACAGAGAGATAGAAAAATAGGGAAAGACAGAGACAGAGAGGAGAGCGACTCCAACAATAACAGTACATATAAATCATTTTCAAATGCTCAGTTCGACTGACCAGTCATCTTCTCTTACACAGTTTTCTTACTGACATAGATGCACTGTATACAGCTGCATCTGTCTCCAGGCAATGCCTGGAGTGTCACTAATATTGGAAATAATATATTTTTTAAATTAGTTTCTAAGAACCTATATATCATATCAACGAGATTTCCAAAGGTCATATTTTCCATGTTTACTTAGGGAGGCTCTCCATTGCTCAGTGACAAAGCTCCAGGCTTCCCCTGGAGGGCTCTACAACTCAAAATGAATTTTCACTGCCTCTCCAACAGGTCAGTCCTCCCTTCTGAGTCCACCTTAACCCACTCCCAGATTCTTATTTCGAATGGGACCCTGAACCCAAAATCCCAGGTGGGAAAAAAAAAAGTCACACCATCAAACATAAAATTGTAAAGCTTCTGTGCCTTTTAACCATATGGAAACCCCCAGAATACAGTCAGAATAAGCTAGAAGGTGAGTGGAGTTTGACCCATGGGCCTCTGAAATATGGTTCTGAGATGGAGGGAATCAGAGCAGCCTAAGCAAGGCCTACCAATTTGCAGCCCGCTTTGCTGATTCATACCTAATGGCCCTCCATGTGATGTTACTGAGAAAGTTCAATCCAAACTGCTCAGTGATATATTAAAAATTCACAGAGAAAATTATCACCAAAAATAATCTTTTGGTTAATATTTTGTTTTATTCTTTTTTTCAGTGCTGGGGATGGAACCCAAGAATTTGCACATGCTAAGCAAGTATTCTGCCACTGAGCCACATCCCTAGCCCCAATTCATATTGTTATTGTTGGTGTGGCAGTTGTTTGAAAAGTGCATATTCTAATCTGAATGTGTTAACTCCACACTACGTTAAACTTACATTCTATAGGGGTGGTATTGATAACAGTGGTAGAGTTTATGTGATGCTTAGAATTTGTTATGCTCTTTAAAAAAATAATTCAACCAAAAAGTTAAGAAAACATGTTTCCAAATCTACACAGAAAAGAGACAGGCTTTATTCATTATAAGCATCAATTCCAGCTCTTTGTAGTCAGAAATTAGTGCCATGGGGTTTTTCTACAGAGTCCATGGTGAGTTCAGATCTTTGTCATGAGCAAAGATGGTGCTAACCAAGCCAGGTACTCTGGGTCCAGATGCTAAACAGTACACTTCCTGGTATTACCCAGAATCTACAGAAAAACAAACCCATCTGAGTTCATGAAAGAGACACAGTCATTTAATGAGTTCCAGAATTAACTCTGTCCTACCTTGGCATATTTTCCCACGCTAATCAAGTAAAAAAAAGATCACATTGCTTAGAGTCATGCTGATATTCACTGTGGATATTTCTCTTGAATCACCACATTACTTTGTCCCCCACCCCAACCCTATAAAGTAGACACTGGTGTCCCAATTTTAGTAGTAAAGAACAGAAAAGCTAAACTAAGGGGAATGGTTTTCCCAAGTCACACAGGAACAGATAGCAGATCAAAGAAAGATTCAAGCCCAGTTTTGTCTGACTCTAACCCCATTGCTATAAAACCTGGATCTGAACATTTTACTTCTCTATTTCCACTGAAGTGACTTCCTTAAAAAAAAAAAAAAGTTACCTCCCTGCCAAACTGCAAAGTCTTCTTTGGAAAAAACAAAGCACAAAATGCATGTTCTGGGCTTCCCTACAGAATGCTTGCAGAAAGACCTGCCTTGTGTAATGCGTTCGTTTCTAATCCAGAATTTAGTTTCTCGGCCTCTGTTCCTGTCACCAAAGGCATTGTTAAACAACCTCACAGAAAGTGGAGTTGTGGGTGGGGGTGCGCGAGGAGAAGGTGGAGAGTCAACCTAGGGTTCTGCCCTCTAGCAGTACGAAAACAAGAAAACCTGTTCTTAAATAAGCTCTCCCAAGTATATAAAAGTCCCTAATTCCCTACAGTTTCTGGGTGTTCCATCTTCCTCCTCCTAACCCACACCATCATCCCCAATTTCCAGGACCGCCTAGTGGAGCCTGGGGGCAGCTGAAAGGGTTTCTTGGCCCTGGGATCCTCCCACGCACTTCCTACTCCAAAGTGTTGAGGCCCTAGCCTCTCTCTGCTTCCACTTTTGAGATGGAAACACCCCTCCCCCAGCTTGTGGCTAGGAGCATCTATCTGAAGTAAACACCACTGCTCCCTTGCGGCACCATGTGAATGTGGGATTAGGTTCCAGTAAACAATTTAGAACACAGCACCTTGAGGCAACTTCCCCAGGTAACACTGATGTGTGTCTTTTAACTTTCTTTGCCACTTTCCTGCTTCCTACTGACTGAAAGGACTGGAGAATCTAGGTCTTTTTGTACTGTGAGATAACCACCAGTCCCTGGGGATGGTAGCACAGAAAAACAAAAGGACCAGGTGATAGAATATACCCTGTGTATTTTCTATTAAAATGTTGGTTCTATTTTAAGTAGATCACTTTAAGGCAAAATATCAGATAACAATTGGGATTATTATTCTAAAATCTTCTAGGATTTCAGAATTAGTCCAAGCCAATGCTGAGTCCAGGGATAAACACCCTGATCTCCTTCTGGAATGTGCCTCATCCTAAGCATCTCAGTCTCAGGGACTGCCAATCTACCCTACCTCCTTATCCTTTCTCCTCCCTACTCCAACTCAGATGGGATATACTGTCAAAGCAGGGACATGGGGGGGGGGACAACACCAGATGTTCACAGATGTGAGGATGAAAAAATGAAATGACAATTTTAAAAATAAGTCTCTCTCTCTCTCTCTCTCTCTCTCTCTCTCTCTCTCTCCCTCCCTCCCTCCCTCCCTCCCCCCCACTTCTTCCTCATCCTTTTGTAGACCTGGAACCCAGGTCCTCAAGCACACTAGACAAGTGCTCTGCCACTAAGCTACATCCCCTGCCCCGATACACTTAGCTCCAAAGCAGGTCATACTTTACAAAAAACTTTAATTCTGGGGTCTTTTCTCATTGCCAGAAAATTCCTAGATTTTGAATAAAAGGATCCCCTGTTCCATTTGTACCATCCCCACACTTCCCCAGCCATCAATGACAGCAGAGCAGGTGACACAGAAGCAATGTTTAAAAATCACCCCGACCTCAGTAAGAGACAAAAACAGAAAGCAATTAATGGAAGTGAAAGGCAACCTCACGGAGATGGCACAGTTCCAACACCAAGTCACATCAGTATTTTGTTTGGGAGGGTCAGACAAAGTTTCAGGAAACAATCCAAACTGTTTTTACTAAGGGCCTAACTTGTTGCCATTGAGAGGGATTTGGGAAGTCCTCTTATGTGGTGCATGCAATTAAGGCTCTAAATCTTAGCAAGGGAAACTGGGAGGGTTTACAAGGTTCCCCATCCCATTCCAGATCTCAAATTGGCATTCTGTACAAGTCCCAATGCAAATGGGCGGGGGGGTCTGTATGTCTCTTTACTTTTCCCTGGAGAGATGAAGCTATCCATGAGTACTAAGGCACACTTTGGGCTATTCCACACCCAAATGCTTTTTCTCCAGATCTAAACCCAGTTCACTAGGGGGCATCAGTTTACCTCTGAGCACACCTGTAATCCCAGCACTTTGGAGGCCAAGGCAGGAGGATAGGAGGAAGGACAGCCAGTTCAAGGCCAGTCTGAGCACAATGTCACATGGGATGGGGGGAGCATAAGGAGAAGAGAAGAGAGGAGGTAGAGGAGGGGAAAAGAAGGGAAAGGGAAGGGGAGAGGGATGGGGAAGGAAGGGAAACCATTTCTCACCAAAGAAGGCCTGAGCTGGACGGACAGAGACAGCAGTGAGTATGTTGCCCTGTCTTGGTACACAGATGCCCTCAATTCCAAATGACTGTTCCAACATGAAAGTGGAGTCACCTCTCAGCAAAGGTCAAGCGGTGTATATGAAATCTCCCAGTTCTCAGATGCTAATATAAAGTTCACAAAATATTTATGACCTTCTGAGGATTAAACAATTCTACAGGTGAGCCAGCGCTGGAAGCTTATTTAAAACCTATCTCTTCCTCTACCCAACTTCAGGTGCTAGGGATCAAATCCAGAGCCTCTCTGGTGCTAGGCAAGCACTCTACCACTGAGCTACATCCCCAGGCCACTGCCCATCTTGTAGACACTGGTCTCAGAGACAGCTGAGGTCACCACCCTCAGTTGAGCACGTGATCAGAGCCACCATACTCAAGCCAGATGCAAGGACCCAGGTAACCAGTCCTTTGGAGTCCTTCCTGTGCCTCCTTAGACGTCAAAAAGGGCAACCTCAGGCAGGATCTGAGATGCACCCCATCTGGAACCACCTCTTTCAGAGATGGAGGGCCCAGGGGAAACCACAGTTGCTTTTCTAGGGGATGTGCCATCTGCAGAAGAGGCAGCCACCTGCTGAGACCTCTGCAAAGCAGGGAAAAGAGGCAAAACCTGCCTCTGGGAGGTGAGTAGTGAGCAAGAAAGGGCTGGAATTAGGAAGAAAGGGGTTTCCCCCACAAGAGTCCTTGAAGATGCCTCCTCCCTTGAGCAGGGCTGGCAACCCCAAGAGACTCGTTTCCACTCAGTCAGTGCTAGGAAGGGAGAGAGGTGGATGCACTTTTTGACATTTAGGGCCTAGTAGCTCCACTGCCCTTTCATGGATGGCGCATCATTGACCCAACACACACACACAAACTCCTTAAAAGGACCCTCCGTGGTGAGATCCCTAGCCTAAGAGGCCACTCTGACAGGCAGGATTACTTCACTCTGCCTAACTCGGCCACTTCTATGAAGTCCTTTTTTACCCTCTCTTCCCACCATCAGCAACCCCAGAGTCCCAGAACCTACCTTGACATTGGAATCCCTGCTTCCCGAAGCCCCTGCAAAAACACAAGGGGACCTATTAGTCTGAGGGGTTCAGTCACCACTTAGTTCCCACAACCAGTCAACCCTTTCCCCCTGTCCTCTGTCCCAGGTGCAACCTCCTAGTCATAGGCGATTGCCCAAGAGTCTTCCGCCTTGCATGGTGGGTTACATTGTGGGAGCTCAGCGGTAATCCCCACCTCGCATCTCCCTGCAGAAGAGAGAAGACTGCGACCACCGGGTGGCAGGATGCGGGGGTGCATTTCCGTCGGGGTAGGGGCGGAAGGCGGGCAACATTTCTACCCAAGGAGATGCTCTAGAGTACTCTGGAGGAAAAGGGAAAACGACGAGTCTAAAGGGAGGATGAGAGGGACTGCTCCGTGGCAGTGTCCCCCAGGGGCTGGGAAAGGAAAAGAACGCCCCACGCCTGGAGAGACACGGGAAGAAAGGGGCCCGCAGCGATGTGAGGGCGAGGGCTGGGGAGTGGAAAGGAGACCCAGGACTAGGGGAGGCGCAGTAAGAGAAAACCCAGGGCTCTGTCCCGGAGACCCAGAGGGAGGAAGGATGCCTGGTGTCCGAGGGGAGCTAGAGGACACCCAGCGAGCCGCCCCAGAAAGGAGGGGTGAGAGTGAGCGCCTGGAGCCCGGAAGAGGGCAGAAAGCTAGGGAACCCCCGGCGAGAAAGGCAGCCGAGGAGCTGCCCTGCTGAGGAGGGGCTGCCACCCTGCGCTCTGAGCCAGGTGGCGAAAAGGCTCCCGCGGCGCTGCCCCTGGGCGCTCAGGAGGTGACAGGGTGCGAGAGGGCAGGAAGCACCTCGAGGCCACAGCCGTCTGGGACCAGAGCCCGGGTACCTGCGGGACTAGCCACCCGGGAGCGTAGGGCAGAAGGGTCCAGCCGGCTGGGGATGGGGGTCCCGCGGGGCTCCTCCCTCGGAGCGCCCAGAGGGGTCCCCGGGCGTGTCGCTGCCCTCGGGGGCGCTCTCACCAGATGAAGTCGGTGCAGTGGCTGCAGAAGGTGGGCTGCTTGAAGAAGCGGGCGGTGAATTTGTGGTTCTTCACCTCGTGCACGTTCTTCTGCCGGAGGGCGCCTTTGCGGGCGAAGCGCACCGTGCTCTCCTCGCCCTCGCTCGGCGGCGGCCCCGCAGCCGGGTCAGCCATCTTGCGCGCACGGGACCCGGGGAGCCCCGAGAGGTGGCGGCCCCGGGGCAGCGGGACCGCGGGGTGCGGGCCCGGAGAACGCGGGACTGGGCGGCCGCTGCAGCCGCCCGGGGACCGCGGGGCCGCGCTTCCCCTTCGCGCCGGCTCTGGCGGCGGCCGCGCGCGGAGCTGGGCTGTCACTCGCCCAGCTGCTGCCGCCGGTCCAGCTGCGCTTGGCACCGCTGGCCCCAGCTGCGGGGGAGGGAGGCGGAGCCCGCGGGGGGCCCCGCCTCCCTTATTTGCATCGCGCCCAGGCCCCGCCCAGCGCTGCCAGCTGCTTTACATATTGGCGAGAGCGCGCGCTCGTGCACACACACACACACACACACACACACACACACTCGCGGCTTGCCAACCTCTCAGCCAAGTGTTCTCAGCCGCAGCGCTGCGGCGCGGGGACCGCAACCTCCGCTGGCAGATCTGAGCCGCGCCCCTGGCGCCCTGTCTTCCGTCCCAAGGTGTGTAGAGGGCACCCCTGAGTGCCCCCACGAGGACTGAAATGGAAGGGCCTGCGGGGCTGGGGGGGGAGGGGATGAGGGTAGAAGCAATCGGGCACAGGCACTTTCACCCTGGCCTCTGCAGAGACTGGTACCCAGCACCCTCCATCCATCCCATTGGTCATTCTGCATGCGTATCCTGGAGGGATGGGCTTTTGCTGTCATTCATCCAGAAAGGGCTGTGCCACACACACACACACACACACACACACACACACACACACACACACCACGTTCTGCAGAGGTAGGCGA